AAGAGATATAAGAAATGCAATATACACGTGTTCACACTTTCAACACAAAACAACAGAAAGAGCAACAGGGTGGTGAATGAACCTGTTTGCACCCGACACATGTGTGGTAACAGGGTTCCTTTTGATTCCTTGGTNGTTAAAAGGCGGCCGGCGCGTAAGGCTGAAAAACTCACAGCCATCTGCAAGCCAAATATCTAGAAACTGTGGCAGCTTCGACGTCTCACAAATCTATAGGCCTGTACGGCCTGTTACAGGGATAAATTTACTTTTTACACTATCCACATAGCTCCTTACAGAGTGCCCCAAATTATAATCCACGCAGATATTCAGGATTCCTCCAAAAATTTTGTCGTACATTTTATTTCAGACTTGCATGTGTTCAAATACCAGTCAGTTCCAGGTCGTGCCATAACTCAGACAATTGGTTAGTCACTGAATTTTTGCCGCTGCAGCCTTGGTTCGATCCCAGGTTAGGGCATGTGGGCTTTGTATTGGACAAAGTGGCACTGAGGCGGATTTTCTCCGAGTATTTCGATTTATCTTTCCAATTTTCATTCCACCAGCTGCCCAATACTCACTGATCGTCCTATCACCAACGCTTTGTTCTCGTGACACTAAAAACTTTGTTAAATGACTAAAAGAAAAGTAAAATATATAAGAAGTATTAGGAAGAACGAAACATCTACTCTTTTTGATGCGACACGGAACGCATAGAAAACGAAAAATAGGGAGGAAAACACACAGCAGGGAGGACACACAAACACACAGACAGCAAGGTGTTCTCATAAGCCTAAGCATTTAGGTGGGAGGGGGGATGTACAGACAGACAATAAGATGATCTCATAATCCACAAAAGCCTATTATGGGAATACATAGAAGCATACACATACACACACAGAAATTAAGATGATCTCATAAGCCTCCTTCCATTTGTTCTGAAATAAGAAAGTAAGCTAAAAATTACCCGTTTCCTAGCACCGCTGAGACATCTTGCTTTTCACATCAGATTCGCCTGCTTGTGTTTCCACCAGTCTCTGTTTATATTCTGTTATACGCTCTGCAATAATATAATATATTTTGTATCTGCTATGCATAAACAAGAAAGTCATCGACGTGTGCAAATTGCAAAGAAAGCCTTTGAAAAATATGAACCTACCGATATTATAAATTGCCTTTCTATTTTTTTTTTCTTTTTTAAAATCAATGTGTTTATATATAGAGTATATTCTCTTTAAACAGACATTATTTATTTTCACAACTATTTCAGTAGGCTAATATATGTAATGAGAGAATGCTATATACCTTAATGTAGGTAATTATCGAATTTTAAATAATGTTCATATGAATTTTACATTTAAGCTGTTGGAAAGTAAGCTCTAAATAACTCTTTCAGTGTGTCCTTTCCAGCGTGAGTATACTGACCATCAGGTAGCTTAATGCTGCTGACTTTGTTGGTCGCCTCTTTTGCCATGATCTTCATGATTGATCTCCTGGAAGTTCCTCCTTCATGAGAATCGTTTGACTTTTCTTATTTCTTTGTTGTAAGTGTTATATTTTAGCGTCCTGTTGCACTGATTTTCATCCATACAGTGGCTGTCCTGTAGTGCACACAATTTCACTTGTCACTTCACAACATGTTTCGGCAACACAGTGCCATCATCAGGTGTCCCAACTACGTCAATCTATTGCATTGCCTGCCTTCATATGTTTTCACCAACCATTTAAAAAGTATTTAAAAAGTCCGTGTTTGTCAACTATGATAAATTTAAACTCGCTGAAACTTGTTAAGATAACTCATCTTATTTGTCTTAATTAAAACTTGTATGTGGTTCGTTCACTACGGGGTCGTTTTTCTTATTTTCTGTGTAAACCGCGTCTTGTGATGTGTGTTCCCTTCTTAGCTGCGAGTGTTGTAATATTGTAAGTGGTGAAGGTTTTCTTATAGGTGTCCCATTAGCCTGTTCTTTTCACTGTATTAGATAGGTTTCTTGCTTTTATTCTCAGCCCACTCAGTATTTTATTCCACCAAGGTGTCATCCTTGGTAAGCGAGTGGTCTTGATCAACAGACTGGTCTGTGTTCCTTATCGTGGGTATACGTCGCGTAATAATCTCCATATTCATGCTTTGGTCGCCCTTGTGCTACTCCCAGTTCCTTCGTTTGGGATCCTTGATGGTAACCAATTTGTTGTTATGTTACATATTTGTATATATATATATATATCTGTGGTCATCAGATACGTGTCGATTACTTATCAGGTTTCCTATGTTATTGGTTCCTAGTGTCAAGTCAGTAGCCTCCTTCATATTGCAGAGTATCAAGGTAGTTTCGTTACCATGATTAAAAATATTTAGGTTCGAACTCACCAGAAATTCCAGAAGGCCTTCTCCTCTTGGATTGGTGCAGGTGCTCCCGCAGGGTGTGTAGTGTGCTTTGGCATCACACCCAATGATGAGTTGCTTTTTCCTGCTGTAGCAGTAGTCAGTGATGTCCCTCACTTTTTGGTTGATGGTGGTCCATCTGAATCATATGGGTGGTTAATATCCGAGAGTCATAATGCCGCCGCGTGGAATGTTCCGGCCATATGACGCCACTGTCCCTATGGGAGCTTAGCTTAGTTGTCATACTGAGTCAGACTCCATGATTGACATTGCCCAGCGGGACCAGGAGGAGGTGCCCAAAGGTGTGTCCCGATCAACCCCCTGGTCCATGATGAGCCGCCCCCATCAGATACAGAGCCGTAGTTCGACCAACCTCATTGAGGATGGCGTCATGACTACCTCTAACATCTGTCCTTAAGTAGGCCAAATTTACTGCCGCCAGTTTCTTATCATTACTAATACTGAAACATCTGAGTTCTGGGACGCACTAGCCTTACGTCATGTTGGGTCTGTAGTTTGGCGTGAGAGCAAAGCTTTAAAAATATGTATTGAGATGTGTTATGTTAAATTTTGTATAATTTAGAAAAAGGTAGTGGATGCATGAGGTATTTGGCTTTCGGTCTGATGGCTGTAGCTGATGAACTTCGGGAGCTAGGCACCTGAAATTTTGTACGAACATCATAAACACGTTTACAAGCTCTGCATCAATATCCAAACTCTTACACATATGTGTGTATATATAAGTAAAATTATCCTTTGGCTTACATTATTAAGCACCACACCATGAATACATATGGAATAGTGAAGGTATAGCTCCATCATTTTTACCTAGGCAGTAGATGGAGTGAATGGTCAGCTTCACGCCCCTACCGTTTCAGCCCCAAGGAAAGAGCCCTCGATGTCCATTTTATAGGAGACTGGGTGGGCCTGGACTTTATGGATAAAAAGAAAAATTTCTTCCCACTACCAGGAATCGAATCCTGATTCCTCGGATATCCAGCCCATAGCTTAATCGTCATATTGCCAGAGCTATCCCGGCTCCTGTATTTTAGTTACTACAAATTATGCGAAAATTCCGAATTAAAGAGCAAAATATTAACGCTGTCAGAATATAGGTATTATGTAAAGAAATAGATTGTTAAATTGTAATATGTAGTAGGTTCGCATGATAGCTTAATCATGCAGATGGAGGCTGTTGGGTGAAATTTGGCACCATCAATTCAACACAGAACATCTTGTGAACTAGGCTGATAATATACGTGTAGTTCCGTGTATCTAGCGTACTGAAGACGTGTATTCTTGGCAGCTTGCTGTATTCTGTACGCACACTAAACTCCTTTCTAGTTATTTAGGGCATATACAACGAACCTTTCGATAGTTCAGATTGTATATCGTTGAATGCTAAAGTTATTAATGACTAATAAATTTGGAAAGGACCCCGTGTGGAGGCAGGTTAGAGTAAATCCACCGTAGTCTTGCGAGTCGCAGAAAGAGAAGGACAGGGAACCCAGTGCCTGGAGGTATAACTGGGCGTCCTTCTCACCGAGGAACATAGCTACAGGGACCTGGTCCTGAGTTGGACGCAAGGCTGACGACCTTGCTCTATAAACAAAGTTACTATTGCGAAATCCAAAGAAGTGAAAACCGAAAGCAATTTGACAGGTTCTTCTAAGGAAGGCTATGGCTCAAAATGGCTGTAGTGCCATAGAAGGAAGCAGTTGTGGTAGGCCGCGCCGCGCCATAGCTCCAGCGGTTAGTCTCTGGCTCCCCACCGCGGCGACCCAGGTTCGAGCCCAGGTCTGGTCAAGTGGGATTTGTGGTGGACAAAGTGGCGCTGTGACAGGGTTTCTCCGAGTACTTCTATGTCCCCTGCCAATGTTCATTCCATTAAATTATCCATATCATAATCACTCGGTGCAGTTACACTAGGCCAATCAGTGGCCGATGTGCCGAGTGGACCCAGTTGGACTCCACCCCCCACTAAGCGAATTAAAAAAAACAGTTGGGGTACAGATCTGAAGCACTATCTAGGCATTTGCCTGGAGGGCTAAGAAACAAGGAACCTCTTGAATACCAAGTTGAAGCGTCCACGTACTCGACCGTGACGCGTGGTCTCTGTGTAGCTCATGAGAATGCTATAGATATATGAAATATAGACAGAAAGGCTGTATGTGGCGCTTAGCGTCGCTCCCTGCTTCGTTTCTACTACGCACGACATAGAGACACATCATTTCCTGTAGACGTCATTGATAGTGACTTCAGGTTGAGAAACTGAGCTGATAACCGGGACACGCTCGTGCGTTGCCTCGTACTGGGTTTTCTTTACAAACTAAATGTTGCTTACTGCTTGGTGGGGCTGTGCTTCGCTTGCTGTTTGCTTTATTTTTGGTTTTCTTATTTATTTAAAATTATTATATTATAATGTAATCAGTTTTCATGGAGTGTAACAGGCATTTGACAAATTACCCCATAATGTGCATTCTTGTGTGACAGGTCGTTCTGCTACTAAGCAGCCTGACGTGCTGGAGCACGGCGCAGAAAAGCAAAGTTCCGGTGGTCGCAGTCGCCGCTAGGTCTGCTCTGCTCGTGTCTCCCTCTGCGTTAGCGCCTCCCGTGTCGGATGGACAGGACAGATCACCGGCCCCGCTTGCAGGAACCTCCGCTCTCGCACCACCAAGAGTCCCGGTAGCACAGTACAGTCCGCCACTTCCACCCCCACCCCCCGCACTAGTTTACGGTCCACCAGTACCTTCGCCTCCACCCGCCCGT